TCCAAATTTGGTCATCAGTAGCTGGTTATGCACATGCTTTTAGCCAATCAGAATCGGTGAAATAGTTTGAATGAATAATAAGAAATCGTATCAGCTAACATATTGAGAACCAAACAACGAGAAGTCCAAAGACAACTGCATAGCTGATCAGAACAACGTGTATTGCTTTTTCATAACACTATTTCGGCTGGCCATACCAGCCTGTTTTCAAGTTTACAGATGCTGCTGAATTTATGATAGGAATTACAATATAATATAAATGGAGAATGTCTTATAAGCAAGGGTTTTTTTAAGACTTAACACGGTAAAAATCACGGACATAAAACGACGTTTCGACCGATCAACGGTCATTTTCAAATAAGTAAAAAAGTTAAAAGAATTAGCATATATCTGTGTAAGGTGTAATAATATGTTAAGAACTACAAATTGTGAATTTTGTGACTCAAATCCGGAAGTTGACGTCGAACAATGTCAGCTGAAGACTGGTCTTTAAATGGTAAAATAACACGAACAGGGTCAGATGAATCAGAAACAGGCGCGGGCCATAAACCAAGTTGATCAGAAACGTTCGTGGCAATAAAGCCTGAGATAGTAGAGTTAGTGAGTTTGTCATAGCCTGCGAGCAAGCTCTCCTATTTGCGAGAGGGAAGCAAGGCGCGCGAGAACGCGCGAGGGAGCGACAAACCCTCTTCCCCGCCCCCGCTTTCGCGTTTCCTCTCGCGTGCCTCTCGCGCGTCCACTTTTCACGATATCCCCAAATGGAGAGTTTGCTCGCAGGCTACGTTTGTCAGGGTACTTTAGCCGTGAAAAAGTAATTTAAGACGATCGGAAATTCTTCAGAGTATTTTGAGCCACAAAATTCACAAGACCGTGCCTCCAGTGTTCGTCAGCCAAAAAATTGAGCGCGATCTTAAAATGCGAAAATGCTAAGCCAAGCAGCAATGTCTTGTTTACAAATTTGAATGTAGTGACCTGTGCAAGTTTTGTAGGCTACGCATGCCGCCACTTAACACAAAAGCGGAAGTTCATCCATCGGCCAGCGCTTTCGTGTTAAACATTCTTCAGCACCTACTGAAAGAATTTAGTAATAATATTAGCAAGTGCAAAAGCAAATTTGACTGTCAGGTGTTTGAAATGTTTTTTACTAATAAACTGAGACCTCTAGTCTTAATTTACAATCAGAATCACTTCTTGCTAATGTTTTTAAATAGCTCTTAATTATATAGATTATATTGTTGTTCTTTCTCTGCATGCTTTACTTCGTACCATATCCTCATTGTCTACCACTTACTACATCGCGAAACTAAGTTATGGGAGAGAGATCCGCGGATAGGTGGTTTTCACGTTACGTCATCGCCGCCATGCTGGTGGACGGTAAACAAAAGATTGCTCACTAGCTCGTTTTGTTTGTCCACCAGCATTTGTTCATTTCACCATTGTTATTAGTGTCTCCCGAGATTGCATGAAAACCACCTATTGTTGTGGAAAGAGGTAGACAGCAAGAATAGATCACGAGATCTGTGGAGTTGTCAACCAACACCAGGGGAGTTTGTAAATTGAAAAAGCCGTGTTTTTTTAAAAAGATATTTCTTTATTTGTTCGACTTATACATCAAGTAAATGCTTCTTCATAATCATCGGGAGTACGTTTCCTGTGCATGTGGATACAATGCAGTTAATTATGACGCAGAATCTCTCACCACGCACAGAACCACGCTCGTAAGCTAACGATTTTCCTTCTCCTCTCCCGTCCCTTTCTTTTGAGCCCCTCTCCATCTCCCTCGGGTACATTATGGACTCGTTCCAGACTTCCGCGCGCCTATTTATCCAAGATGGCGGAGTCAGCGCGCGCGGCTCGCGCCAAAATACGCCCGCCCTGCACGCTAAAACACAGGGTGCAACACGAGTACAACAGTTTGCTTCTTAACGCATTGAACTGTATTTTTAAAAGCAATCTGTCCTTGAATAATTTCAAATGGCTGCTTACAAAACTGAAGTTTTCGTGCGTTCGAAATATTATACCCCGTTCTAGAAAACGCCCCTGAAATGGATACCCCGTTCTAAATCAGGAGCTTCAAAATCACGACCCCGTTGGGTGGCACATACCCGTATAGGTAATGTATGGGAGTACCGCCCCCGGGCGAAACGTCAACAATGATTTGTCCGGAACAATTCACTCCGCCTGCTGTACGTTTTGCAGAGCGCTGTGGCTATATGGCCGGTAACCGGTCAAGGTTTCCAAAACACTAAATGGCCGGCAGTCCTATATTCTCAGTAAATTTCACAAAATCGAAAGATTCTAGCTAATCTAAACTATCATATGTCGATTTAGAAAAGTCAAGCGATCCTGAAATGCTTTACAGATCTCAAGTCTAGTGTTTGGTTTACGCTGGGCTCAGAGGACGAAACCATGTTTTGTGACATGTTTTGTAAAACGACGATTACTTTCGAGAATCTCAATTTTTTAAAAGAAATTTATCGACTGGTTTAAAAATTATTCACTTATTACAATACAATCGGTTTCACAAACAGATTGTGGACAAATTGTGTGGGCGCCCTGTTCCCTAAGAACGCTTCAGCATACATGATGGTTGCTAATGAGGGCGTTAAAAACACAACTGTAAGTTTTTATTGAGATGATTCAGATACGGTCAATTTCTTGGTCCTTCTTGCGATCTACGTCCCAATATTCTTAGGGTATAAAATTTTGATTGGCTTAATGGTTGGAAATGTTGGACTCTGGTCAGCAAAAACCTTTGTGTCGGAGGAGAGTAACACGAGACTTGAGAAATTGAGGGCCATTTAAAATGCTTTCAAAATCAGTTTTCGAATTAAATGTTTAATTTACATTATTTGTGCCTTTTAAGCTAAATTTCGGATCAAAAATAAACAAATGAGTTTCATAGTGAATTATTAAAAATCAATCAACTGACAACTGAAAAATGGCCAAAATTTAACTGACAACTGACATTTGTACCTCCCACCCCCGCCATGATCCAGACCCTCGAAAAAGCTGAAATGTCATTGTATACAGTATGTCACGTTACACGACGGTCTAGTCGTTTTGTGGATTTCCGCTGTCTAATGCGTTCGCAGCTACGTCTTCTTCATTTTCGCAAGTTCGTCAAGTTCTTGTATTTCGATGTGGAAAATTTATCTCTCTCGAAATACGACAGAAACTTAGTGGCTCGAACGAAAAACGCTCAAAGATTCGATTACTAAAGTTCGATCACTTAATCTGTTTCTATACCTAGGAGAACCTCACTGTCGTGGTTAACACCTACGGGAAAGAGTTCCAAGATGGAGTACAACTCCACTTCCGTCTTACGAAATCATGTCACAGCCGTCAAATAGCAGGAGGACCGAAAATCCATTCCCTGTTCGACAAGACCTAAACAGTAAAGTAGCGCTTTGGTGAGTGTTTGTGTTTGTCGTCTTAGATAAATATGGGTAGCTTTATATGGTACGCTGTGTTGTTATGCTAATTTTCCACACAGGTAAACTTCCCAAAGCGTGATCTAATAACTTTATAGCTCACTTTGTTTCTTAGTGAACCATTAGTTTTCTTTAGTTTAGTATTGGCTTCATAAATTTACCGGTAATCAGAGTTATTCAATAGGGAAAGTTATTTCTATCATTTTGACAGCTATTTTACATGTACAGTATTATAGTATAAGCCCTTGATTTTATAATTACTCGAGGTTGCGTAGCACGGAGAGTCGTAATCTGCAAGCCGTTTTCTTTTCTCCTTATTTAGTACACGAGGAGAGTCATGGTCCCAGGCGTTCGTAGCTGAGGCTGTGGAAACTGGGGATAAGAATCGTGACGCCTTTTATTTTATGCAATTGCAGCTCGTGCTGAGCATGTGGTTTATTTTCAGGGATGATTGAAGTGGCCTGCGTAGTTGTATGATAAAATTTCCCCCACTCAAGGCCCTTGATTTTCGCGTATTCATATACATGTATTAAAAAGTAAACATCCTGAAGAATACTCGAACAAAATCCTGTTTCGTGGTGTATTAAGGCGTTACCTTTCTCAGAATATTGACGCAATCACTGGAACTCTGTGGTTGAATATAGATTCGAAATTGCAGATTCAACTGGCGCACACTGCTGAAGCCAACAATATTTCTCATCTATCACACAGTTACACATAAACCCTTGCTATTGTTACAAAAAGTGCATCATATGTGACATTCCACTTATAAAGTGCATCTGTACAGGTGCTCAGCTTTGAGATACAGTGAAACCTGTGTTAAGCAGACACCCTCGGGGAATGCTGAAGTGTCGGCTTAATACAGGATGTCGGCCTAATACAAGTTTCAATAGATAACATCATATGAGGTGTCAAATGCCATTCAAATGAACAGTGGAAATGTTTGGAATACTCCCAGAGACTGTGACGATATACATTTGCTTTAATTTCTTTATCAAAGTGGACAAATTGATCATAGTACCACAAACAGATTGTAACTCAAATTTGAAGAAATCAGGTGAGTGAAACAAGCTCTATACAAACAAAACTTTATAGAAAACAATACTGTACTGTTAAACTAAGCAAATAAGTTCGTCAAGTCATGTTTTTTAATGGAAAAATCGCAAAATTTGTGGGTGGCAATTCGAGGCAATCTTTTGCATTTCCGGTGTCTGGCATGTTGGGGAGTGGAATTTAAAAGTGTCCATTTAATACAGGTTGGCAACAATAGAAATGATCATTTCAGGTACTTTTTAGGTGTCCGTGTCTGCTTAGTAGAGGTGTCCGTTGAATAAAGGTTTCATTCAAAGTAAACAAGAGAAATAAATTTGGGGTCTTTGGCTACTGTCCGCTTAATAGAGGGTGTCCGCTTTAGACAGGTTTCACTGTATTACCTTGTTTGGAGCATGACTAAATTTAAAAGTAAGTTGGAAGATTTTATGCACAACTACCCTTGAGCTATGGTATCAAGATTCTAACACTATTAAGTGCTCTGCATGTTTTTAATAATACATATTTGGTTCTTCCAGGTCAGGTGATATAACTAAACTAAACACCATAGCAATAGTAATTACAACAAATGAATCCCTCAGTAGCAAAGGAGTATTGAGTGAAAGGATCCACAGAGCTGCTGGTCCAGAGCTGTTACATGAGTGTAGATCACAGTTACTTTGGTATGAACATAGTTTCTGAGATAAAATAAAATAATTGTTTTTATAGTATAGTTAAATCAGGTTTTTGGAGTCCAGTTTTCCCAAAACACCACAAGCAAACCTTTGAGCAATAAAATATAATACCACCCTGTTTATGGTCAAAATATTGGAAGGATTTCTATTACACCCAGGGCTGCCATTAAGATTTTGAATTGCCAGGTAAATACACTTGTAAGTAGGTGGGGAATTCATCAACTAGCGATTTCTTTTGGTTCTATATTTTCTAATAGCCAGGGAAAATCCCCAGCCCCAACCTTAAATAACAACCCTGATTACCTCTTGGCCATAAAGTGTAACAAGGGACGAACTCTCACTAGTCTCTAAAACTTCTAGGTAATAATTTGCTCCAACACTGACTGCCCTCTCACAGTCAAAAACTGGTTTTTCCCCACCATGTTTGAAACGCCTGACAATTTGAACCGATTTGTTTTTCCCAAGATGGTTCTAAAATTGTGGATTCCGCCATGCGGTCTTAGTACTCCATACCAGAATACCATACTAGTTAGTGAATGGACAGTGTAGTTTCTTTTTCTGTACAACATTTGTTTTTAAAAAAGTTTAAAATGGTAACAGAGGTGCACTGTAGTAATCAAAACAGTACTATCACAATGATGGTCAATTAGTTGTCAAGAATTCCTGTTTATTATTTTTTCTAGGTTGTAGGACTGGAGAGGCTATTTATCAAAGGCTATAGTTTACCCGCTAGGTGAGTGAGTTGTTAGGGTGGTACCGGAGGCTAATTTGGGCATTTTTTTGTCACTTTTAGCCCTATGAGAATATCATTTTAAGCATTTAGTGAAAATAAAGTGAAATGTTTGGATGCAAGTCATAAGTGAATGGGAATTTAAAAAATCACATCTTCGTACACTGTAGCTCCTCGAAGCAAATTTACAGCAAGTTTTGTGGTAATTAGGATTGTTTTTGAGGTACAAATTTCCCTCACAGAATATATGTATTTGTGAATACACTGTAGTACATGTATATGAAGAAAAATACAGTTGTTAAACACAAAGTAAAACATTTAAACTTTACATGTTCACTGTACTTGAAGTCTTAAAAGAAATATTTTCTCTAGATCTGTTTATTCATTATCTGCTTATTCATTAATATTTGTGTACTGTGAAAACTATTATGTTTTAAGTACATTTAGAATTTAAACCTGAGTTTCCTTCTCTGAATGATAATATTAAGGCTAGGAAACATACAAATAAGCTAAATCAAATTTAAATACAGTGGAACCTGGAGATAACAAAGGGCCAAGCTTAAGAGACTGACAAAATCTGTTCATCATAAAAAGGTTTTGTTATCTCGAGGTTCTTTTCCATATTATTTTACTATTTACTAAGTGTCGTTTGTAAATATGTCAAGGAAGTTGTTATATAGAGGTTGGTAATATTGAGGTTACACTGTACTGGTTAAACCCAAGAATGGATTTTAGCCATGTACATGTACCTGAAGAACAAAAAGGGCTTAATAGATGGAATTTTAATAGTTTTGGATTTTGCATATCCCTGACTAGTAGCTTTCAAATATGCAAGTAAAATCTTAGATCGATAGCTTAACAAAGAAGTGTTTTTCCTGTGGATGATGATGATGATGATGATGATGATGAGTTTTATTTTATTTTGTGAAACATTTGCATTGAGGTAATTTGAATTGAATAATAATGATAATAATTGTTCTTGTCTGGTGTGTAGATATGTTATCCATACTGTGGGACCAAGATACAACATAAAGTGCAAGACTGCAGCTGAAAGCGCACTCTTCTCTTCTTATACAAGTGTCATGAAAATTGTTAGGTTTGTCAGTTTACTAGTTTTTGTCACATTTTGGGAAACAGCCATAGTACATGTACATGTTACAGTCAGGTCAGGTCAAGTGTACCCACCCCCCCCCCCTCCCCCCAAGGATTATATTAATGAGTTTATTATTCGAAAGTTGAATCTGTTGGTTTTTGTAGATTTTAGATTCATCTCTGCATTCCTGTATGTGCATTGAGCCGTGAATTCACGTATGAGGCAGTTATTACATTTCTACCAGCTTAGATTCCCAGAATTTTACGTAAATGTCCTCAAAGCAATTTTAGCTTTCAAAGATTTTCAATCTGACCAGATACAGAGAAGTTCTCGTCAAATATTCACCGCTCATTACGCATGCAGGAATGCCCATTTGAATTTAACACTAGTTACAGGAACGTTTACTGGATTCATTTTGCAAATAGTCACTTCATTAATAGAATCTTGGGGGTACGCTTGACCTGCCTTGACTGGAAAAATTTTTAATTCTTTGTCTCCTAGCCCTAATTATTCGTGGATTAGGGCTAGGATACAAAGAAAATAGAGAATCAACCTACCGGTAGGTTAAAAAAATTAAATTTTAACCTGAATTTCATTTTGACCTATAACATACATGTGCTGTGTCAAAAAAAATCATTTGCCAGTTTCACTATATATCTTGGGTCAAATTTCAACTGTCACATTCTCCTGTAGTCATAGGTAGAATTTTTGAATACAACATTAATTTTTGCTTTAAGGTACTGGTACTTTGAGTACTTACATAAAGGTAGAGCGTAAAGGCATGCTTTCAGTGATGGAGCATGTAGTGTGTAAATGGATCCTACATGTAATTCATACATGTAGCAAGGAATCCTTAATTTTGGATTAACTCTGGTAAGAGTAAGAGCTCAGTGGTGGGTCTCAGGGCTCAAAATAATGGCCAGTCAACAAACAATGGCCGGACTGATTGGGGGGTTGCCCGATCAACCTTTATAATCAATATTATTCCACAACACTCTCTGTGGGGAGAAAACACAGTTGACTTTTTTTTGCTTTTGGTATAATATTCTTGCCTTGTTTGAATGAAAATATTACCTTGCAACAATGCTTCATTTGTTACTAAGTTACGTGTATTTACAATTTTTTTTTTCAAAAGTAAATTATTTTGTTAAGTTTAGTCAGAAACTCACAAGGGGTTCCTTATGAGTTTCTACTTTAGTATTTTGTTTGTCTTTTGTTGTACATGTATGGATTGAGTTTGAAAGAAAATTAAATTTAGGAATCGATATCCCTCTAACTACGACAAAAATTAGTTTTTCTACATTGAGTATTATTTACTGTGTTATTTTCCGTAATAATTAAATGTGATTATTTTCAATAATAAATTTACTTTTGGGCTAGCTCTTCAGAGCTCCAGGCTATTAAACTAAAGTAGTAACTTGCCCAAAGGGCAAGCTGATTTTTGTCATTTTCATCTTACCCTGAATTTATCTGTTGTGTGCGTAATATAAACATAAAAGGTTATACAATGATAGACAGTGTACTTATTAATTAATGCACGTATTAGGCTTATTTTCATTTTGCTGCTGTAATTTATTTTTATTGTTGACAATGAGTGCTTTAAAGTACTATACATTGTAAGCTCTAAGTAATGACTTTTTCGGAAAAATATAATGCCAGTTTTGGTTCATGGGCCCCTGTTTTAAGAGTTCTAAATCTTATAAATTTGACCTGGCCAGGAACGATACGTGACCAGACTAAAATGAATTTGGCCGGTCAGTGTGTCCAGAGACTCTCTAGAAATTATTTCGAGCCCTGGTTCTTGTGCCCTTCTTTGCCTGCAATGGGTTTGCTTGTAAATATCCTATCCCAATAAGCTGCATCTTGCTGCCCAATATAATAAATAAATTGGGCTATTCCAGATAATATCTGTACCATACCACAGACAGCTTTTTGGAATCTGAGGGCAAGGGGGGGCAGCCTTGAAATGTACAATAAAAAGGGGGCTGCACATGCAAAGTTGCTGTTTCGCTAATTTGACCTACTGTTGTTTTTCACCCTTCTCTAGCGTTGCCTTCGCTGCTTAGCATTACACGATTTTATATTTTGTTTGAACAAACTATGAATATTATTGAAATCTTCGCTTTTAGCCCAGGCTAAATCTATATATTATTAATATCTTTATTGTTTGAATAAGTAATTTTGCCTTAGAGAGTACATACTAGCATCAGTTGGTCTTTGTGTTGTCAACACATCAAGATGTGGGTACCCTCCAGAAGATGGAGGTCACATTGCCTTGTGTGAGCAATTTTCAATAGACATTTTCACCACATCATTTTCATGGCCTGAAAGAACTTCAATTCCAGCTAGTCTTCAAACAATCAGTTGTCTCATTTTGCAGCTCCAGGGTCATTAAATGCATGAAATAGTTCGTGATATATTTAGAAGATTGCTTGCCTGGCAGTTGCCCATTGGGCATAAGCAAGCATGAAAAGTTACTGTTACAACTGTATACTGTCTATGTACATGTACTTGCATTGGAGGAAAATTTAGTCGTCCTGAACCACTGGATGACTCTTTTTTTGGGCCCTGCAATTAATTTTCACCTTAGAGAAGATTTCTGGCTTTTGCCAACAGTCAAAGTGAATGCCATAACTTTTGTGCTATTCTTCTAGATTACCCACGAGTCTCCCACTACTCTGTTGTACAAATCTCCCAGTCTCTTGTAGGGGTAATTAAATCTTGTGGATAAAAATGAATTTGGAACTTTTCTTTGCTTTAGCTTGAATTTCTGCCCAAGCAAAGGAAAAGAGAATTTTCACAGTCTGTAATTCATGTAAGTCTTTGTATAAATTATGACGGGGGGGAGGGGGGGAATGCATTTTAAGGGATAAGATACCACGATTTTTCTTCTGTTTACAGGAACTGTAAGACGATTTCTTGAAACGTTTTCAGATATTGATCTTGTTGTTTTTGTTGTGGAAAATGCTGATGAGGTAAGATTAATTTATTTTAGTTAGGTACACTTTGTGTCCATTGATAAAATTCTTTCATGTGGTGTCTCCTGTTCAGGAGACAACATTTGTGAGAGACTTGAAATCCAACAGCCTCAGTTCAAGTCCCATTCTAATCACTGCTACATGTATTGTTTGTTAATCTTGTCAAGTTCAAATCCTCCTTTGTGTTTGTAATTAGCCAGTTGGTTGCCTCCTGCCAGTTGGATTTTTTATCCTTTTATGCTGTAGATGTACCATTATTTTGTCTCATAATAATTTATTGCATGGAAGCACTTGTATGTAAACCAGCCAGAACAGCTGAGTGCACTTCCATTATAAACAAAACCCATTTTCTAGCAGTCTGTTTACTCTGTGCCGTCTGATGTTCAATAATTTCTACCAGGCCTGTCATTAAGGGCCAGGGGCTGAGAACTTCCTCTGGGTACTAAGAGCATGATCTCCAGCTATGTACTTTCATGGGTAACAAAAGGAAAAAGGAACAAAAGAACTCGCTAGCTGTTCAATTCCTTCCTGCTAATTTCATACACTTGACAACTTGAAATCTTAGTGACAGTTCTGTTATACATTAAACAAGAAGGAATTTTTTTGGCAATGTTGTCCTTTAGAACTTGTGGTACCGTTGTGAAAAAACATGGCCTGTTTTGTGACCAATAATTATTATTTCCAAGTAGAATCCACTCCCTTTATAAGGGACACTGTGGGGACCTTGAGTTAGTGTCCTCATTATAGCGGGAGTTTATTTCAGTCAAACATCTGTAATTTATTTTTGCCTGGGATTTAGCTGCTGTTTTCAAGGTAAATGTTGATGAGGAAGATGAAGACGGTCAAAATGTCCCCTTTAAAGCTCAGGAGCACGCATCTGATTCACGCCAGAGAACCTATCGCTTATGGTACACTATTGAAGTTCAAGCCTCAGCACCTCCTCCTGAGAGAACCTTTGAAGTGACGTGTGCTGCACACTCCGTAGTGGCAGTAGACATGGCGGTGACGAACCCCACCCCATGAAAGGGTTGTTATGGTTATGGATGTACTTATTGAAGGGGTGGCTTTATCTGTGAGCCCACGGTCATTTTGCATCCAAGGCAACAAGTTATATCACGTGACATTTTCTCCAACTGTCACTGGTGAACACACTGGAAGGTAGGCGGGTATAAGTCCTATCTCTCAAACTTTACTCACAGAAAAGCGGGAATTTTCAGGACTCTTTACGTACATTGCAGATAATACTTTTCACTCTTTTACGTTCCACTTACATTGTGGTTTTCCAGAATGAAGCTGTGGAGGAATTCTGGTATAACCTGATACTGAAAGCGACCACACCTCTTCCGGTCACCCTACCCTCTATTCACTGCGAAATTGGGAAGTAAGTGTTAATTAAGGATACGTTAGATTGATTGTATTGTGGGATAAAAATGCGCAATGCGCAGAGGGTAGAGGTGACGCTGACCGGCTTGACCCCTGATACCGCGGGCTCCGGCTTAGGGCGGTATCCAAGTATTACTCTTTTAAAAATATTTCTAAGGTCTTAAGAAGGTTGCCTCCTCGTAGACGTTCTTCAAAACTTTTGCCTATTTCTTGGCACAGTTTCAGGTTTTGCGTTTTCTTTTATTTCTTCCGTTCAGTCTTCAGAAATTCAGCTATTTCGTCTTCGGATAGCCGTGGAAGCCATTTTTTGTAGTTCAGTCGTGAATAAACAACTAGGTGGCAGTTCCTGGAAAGAGGTATTGCCCAAGCAGCCTCGTTTCCGTGCAAATATACCATCGATCAAATTTGTTTACCAACAAATATACCATCGAAGCTCGCATCTTCCAGATTTGGTCAAGGTCATTAGCCGTAAAAGAAATGCTCAACAGGATCGCTTCCTACGCCCAAAAAAATGATTTCGAGCCACACCTTCCTAGATAGACCACTTAACGTGCCATTTTGAGTATTCGCTCACGGCAGGTCCAACTTTAATTTTTAAGGTAAAACAATTTACCGGAATTTACTTTGATATTGGTCAGATCTGAATTCAAATTCGGATAAACACTGTGTTAACTCAAGTCTTTTTTGAATCACCGGACTCTAAATCCTATATCATGCTTTCATCCACTCAGTGGTGCGAGGGGAACTGACAGGATTTTTCCTCGTTGCTGTTCGTTTTTGCAGCCACAAGACACAGCTGATGATCACGGCCGCTTCCGGTGGAGTGTGGAGACTTCCTATCCGAGTGTTAGCTACTGAACTGGAAGTAGACGATGTAATTACTATCGAATCTGTTGGTCTGAATAAGGAATCAGTTGTGGGCTTCAGGATGAACAGTCAAATGAGGTGGGTGTATGGGGCGTGATCAGATCACGTGATTAACGCAAAATCTGCTGCATTCTCTGTATCACAGTTCCTTTAGGAGCAAGAATTAGAGCAGTTGGTTAGTGTGTGCCTCCCGTGCAAGAATTCCCCAGTTCAGTCCCCAGGGGGTAACCTCAAGTCTTTGTTTCGACTCCTTTCCTTTCTTGTATCTACGACTAGCTTTGACCAGCCTATGNGGGGGGGGGGGGGGGGGGGGGGGTTATACACAGGCTATGCTTTGAGTACCTTTTAATATCCGTCAAATGGGGTAAGGCGGTCGCCCTCAGGTTTGTCAATCAGGTCCCGGTTAAATCACCATCCAGTCGATAAGTATTACGGAAAATTGTGCTATCCGCTGGTTAGTGATTTATCCCGTGGATAGCGCTATCCAACGTTTTAACAACCGGGGCCAGATGATGACTTTTTCGAGCTAACGACGTAAAATAAAAACTCTTCTCGTTCACCTTTTTATCTTCGCCCTTTTGTATAGTTAATTTACTTTGCAGAATGACAACTGTATAATCTACCTTTTTCAGACACACCCTTCCATTCGAGGCATTCTTCGCTCCCAGTTCTGATCCGGACTTCACAGTCACCCCAGCATACGGGGAACTTCCTCCATTTCGTACTGAAGGAACACTGATCAAGGTGGCCTACAAACCTCAAATATACGGCAAGACGCACAAGGCTAAACTGGTGGTTCAGGTAAGATCTATTAGCCTCAACTGGCCCTTGTTTCCCACTCGACCCCAGATCCTCTCAGATGGCAATGCGCGGAAAAAGCACGAAAACTTTAGGGCGATGAGTGATGACAGAAATGACCTTCTCCCGCCCTTTTTGTTATCATGCCCCACATATGGCCAGGAGCTCCTGATATGGCCGAGTTTTTTCTAGTCTCCCATGATTCGTCTTGTCTACTTACAAATGACAAAAGTTGTGGTTGGCGACTATCTTCGTTTTGCTGATAAAGTTCATCATGTTGACAATATCTGTGAGGCGTTTTTCGTTTGAATTCCCAGCTATAGGACGGGGCTAGTCACTAATTATATTAACGAGATTAAAAACATCAACTTTCAATAAGCTTCCTGGCGAAAGCATGATCATTTTATTAAGTCCGCATTTTTCTTGGTTTTCTCGCAGACATCAGACATGCAATGGACGTATGATATTCTAGGTACAACCGCTGACTACAATCCGCCAAACGCGCGGGCAAGAATCACGTCCACCAGTGCAAACTCGGCGCGCTGGACCGTGAAGCAGAAGAAGAACTATGTACTAGAGAACTTGAAGCTACAGAGTACAGCAGTGTCATCCCCATATAAGGGAGTAAGACTTGTGTCACGTTCAGCTAGATAACAACGACGCACAAGTGTACTCGCTGTATAGCAAGCGAAGTTTGAAAGAATTGTTAATAGACGATATTCGTATTCCCCGACGGCCCTGGGACGAGAGACTTCACAGCATGATTGCGAGGCTAAAGCGGGGAGCTTTTTGGCAAAAACACAAACAAACATTGGTTAGTCGCGGCTGAATCGCTGCAAACGATAGAAATCACGGGATCTTACGGGTAAGCTAAAGGGATATATGTTTCAAAAAACAAAACTGTGAGAAGAGCTGGTCGTACTAACAGCAAAATTTAAAAAGCTACGAAGCCAAAAGAAGAAACAAGAAGTAATCAAGAAAATGGTATATTGTGTCAAAATGTCAATACTCGACTCCTTTTTATACAATTTTATTTTTCTTAAATAAGAAAAGGAGAACACACATAGACATCACACCTCAAATTTGACGAGTCATAATAGCAGACATGGTTTGAGACACAAGTTGACGCGCGTGCAAAAACATGAGAGTGTGTCAACAATAGGCATTTGTAACGGAAATTTAAAAATAAATTTTACCTAGTCATCTTTGTTCAAACCGGTTTAACTTCCTTAAAATGCACATGGATTGTCTGCAGAACGTTAAGCCCCGTCCTGATAAGTAATTATCCACTGAATGAGTCGTTTGGTTTACTTCAATTACACATTCAAGATTTTGCATCCGCTCTGTTAGAAAATTTCAACTGCAAAGTAGGTGTGATAACATCACTGTTAACGTTATCGCAGGCTTCCGCTAATTACGTCCATTTTAATAAAAGGTATTCTTCAAAAAGTTTAAAGGACACTGAAAATTACAATTAAAATGTCTTCGGGGATTTTAAGAACATCTCTGTTTATATTTAATTATAAACTCGCTCACCAAGCACTCTTTTTATCAATATAATTATGATTAGGATCGCTGTTTTTCTTAGTAATAATGAGCAGATTTTCCTTTGTTGTTTGAAATAATGATCTCTCTCAAGTGTGTAAGCCCTTCGGAACTTTACAATGTTAAGAATTTTCCTTAAATTCGGCAAACTCAGCGACAGTTTTCTCATATTTGTTTGTCCTCTCGGCGAGAAGTTCCCCGCATGAGCCTCGCATTCATGATCTAGGCCTACTCGTCCCAGGACTGTCGGAGAATACGAATACTGTCTATTGTCCGTAATGTTTGGAAGTGTTTGTTCCACTGTAGCATATGTATACATAATGTTTCCCAACCAATATTTTATTTTTGTACCCAAAGCTTTTTTGTTCATTTTGTGTGTTTTGCACTGTAGATAAAATTCTCATGACACACTTCTGTACAAATGTATTACAAATTGTCCATAAAGTAAAATATTGAATGAAATGTCAGTTACCGAAGTCAAGAGATTTCACTTCTCTTTTTAGTTACATCCGAAAATAAAGATTGTTTACTGTTTCCCAGGGCCATTTACATGGCAGAACTGGTGAGTTCACAGTTTGGGCAAATGGTAAGCAAAATTCAAGACCAGTAAATTTTATTCCTGGATCGCGTTTAACATGTGCACAAACTAGTTCCTTACGTCCGCGAAGGCCTGAAACTGGTATCAAAGATAGGTTAACAAATAGAACATGAATTTGCGTTTGAAACATATCGACCAGGCAGGAGCGCTTACCATTTGTATGGAAATTTCGGTGAAAATTTTCCGGCAAATTATACATTTTTCAAAACATTTCCGGAAAGTCCCATTGGAAAGTAAATGTAACACTCTCTTTGGAAAATTTCTGGAAGAAACAAGACATCTGAAAAGGTAGTACTGTCCAAACAGTAAACAACCATTGCTTTTCGCACTGAAAACAGAAATTGCATTGATTTGTATAATTTACAAAATACCGGTAATATTTCGCGTTCTCCCAAGAGGCTGCCTACACTGCAGGTTATCCAAACAAATGGAACAGAAAATTTTGGTCGTTCCGGTTTAAATAAAACGGAAAAAAGATAATGGGCGCTTTCCGTTCAACCCAAACTTCCAGTCTGAATTATCGGCAACCTCCAGCAGCGAATGGAACAGCATTTTCAAAGATTTCCTAAACAGAGGACAACCTCGCGAGGTATACCCAAATTTTCGAAAATTTTTTTCCCGGAAGGTTTCTTTCCATTGGCTTCGCTCTCGGAATTTCTAGAATTTTCGGTTGAATGGTTCGCATTCAATTTCTGGAATTTCTGGAAACTTTTCCCGGCAATTCCTGTACCATTTACTCCTGTTTCCAAATTTTCGAAAGTTTTGGTTGAATGGAAAGCGCCCAATACCTAGAAGGCATTACCTTTTATCGGAAAACCGGAAAACATTCTACCGGGATGAACCGTTCCATTTGCTTCACTAGTTACCAGACGCCAAGTTTCTGGCCGCGTGGCACGTAATTCACAACTAAATATCCCTTTGTTTAAAACAGCTGCTGGTCAGCGATCATTCCAGTACAGTGTTGTCAGTTTGTGGAACAGCCTAGATAAAGAACTCAAATTATTAAAGTAAGCATCATAGGGCTTTTAAACAGAAACTGAGGCAAATGTTGTTACATAAATTTCTTGATCCCGCGAGCGTTTTGTAGGTTTTGACTTTTTGTTGTATCATAGGAATTTTAAAAAGGGAACTTTGGTTAATTTTTTTCTTTTTTAGGTAGACATTTTTTATATATACTTGATAATGAATTATAGCTTTGTCTTGTATCACTGGAAAGCCCCGCAGGGGAGAGTACAATAAACCTCTTACTGTCTCTTACTCATGAAACAGATATAGCGGTGGCAGCACGCAATTTCCGCCGCTGCCGAAAAGCATGGACTTGGCCTTGTCTATATTAAGTGTAAGCTTGGTTTTATTGAGCCTTCCCGTCAGTGGATAACATTCTTCTCTTCTCGGCACACTCAGCCTTCGGCATTCAATAATAGACCTTGTCACGGTTTTCAATGCCATCTTGACGAGTAGGCAAACCCGTGAGAAATTACAGTGTTTGTATGAGAATCTGATGTCGAATAATTTCCGTAAAACGGCTGTTTTAAAAAATATATGAACTGTAAACTAAAGCTTAACTCTTAAGGATTCTACTGAAAAAATTTGAGGGCGTGACATGCGCTAGAAGACCTAGGACCTTTTTTTTAACATTTCCTATACATTTGTCTGTAAAAATTTCCCGGGAAAAATTGCAGACAAATATATGGAAAAACTAACGCAAGCTTCTGGAGAAATTTAAGCACAGGAACGGCCCCCAAAATTTGTTGGTAAAATCCTTTGCTGTGTAGCTTTAGTTTACAGTTCATATTTTTTCCAGAACAGCCGTTTTACGGAAATTATTCGACATTGGTTTCTCATACATACACGGTCGATTTCTCACGCGTTTGCCTACTCGTCAAGATGGCGTCGAAAACCGTGACAAGGTGGGGAGACGCCGTCCGAGCCTATCGTCTTGCCGTTCACGTTCTCAAAAAACTTAAAATTTGGCTGTTTCATGTTGTAGTTATGCATAGCTTCGCGCCTAGTGATATTTACGTTTGTCGCTTCTCTTCGCCCCAGCGGACTCGGCGGGGACGAGTTTATCAAGCGGAAACGCTTGCCACGTAGATTACGCTTCCCTGCTTGCTCCACCAATATAGATATAGACTGAAGTAGATTGGAATTCATTCTTCGCGTTTGTTAACTGAAATAAGCAGAACCTTTTCAGTTACTTATATTCATAAAAATTCCACGAACGTGGCAATAAAAGAATATTATTATAAAAATCAGACAAGGAAGTTACTTAAACAAAATGCCACTGGATCTTGCTTGCATGGCTAGCCAAGAGTTTTCTTGCGGTTTCAAGTCGCATCCGATTGGTGAATACGCAATTGGCCTGTCAAAATCAAATCAAAGTCTTCCCAGTTTTTCGAATAGCACAGCTTTTTGCTCAAAATTTGCACAAATTAAAACCTGGGAGAAACCTCCCATTAAGACCCTGTTTAAATGGAGTGGGGGACCCCGATCTAGTGGGGTAAGTTTCTTTTGTTTTGTGTCCCTCAGAGCGTGAAACAAAAGAAACCAACCCCACTAGACCGGGGTCCCCCACTCCATGTAAACAGGCCCTTAGTAACGTTGCTCAATCAATCAGTGTTTTCTCATGGAATGCAATCCTGTTTTTGTCCATTGAAACTGGGCTGGGCTGGCTGTTCATTGACGTGCTACATATTGAAATTGCAGTTCAGACTTTGAAGAGAGGCACAAAAGGTAACCCAATTTTACGAGTTCTTGGTTGAAATTATGGCACAAAACACTAATATAAAACTAATATACAACTCACTGCGTCCATGACGAAGACTGCAAGAGTGTGAGGTGAAAAAACCCATTTGAGAGAGGCAGAAAGCGAAACCTGTGAACAGTGAATTTATCTTTTAGGAACGGCGAGAAACACGTTCATTACCAGAAGACATACAGCAAGTAAATTCGGTGGCGTCAAAGTACAGAGAACAACTTGTACCCAACGAAGCTTATCTCGACGGTGAACCACCAGAGCGTATTTTATATGCAAAAACTGAGAGCTGATTAAATCAGATCTAGTCCTTTGAAAGGTGAGTGTGCAGCTTTATTGCTGTTTCTCTGTTATGACATTCATGATGCTGTAGGCGTATCCGGCTGGGTTGTTATGCATTAATTTTCTAGTTATTTCCTCGTCCTGTTGATATTAAAAGCACTCGTCGACTGCGAAGAGAACTAATTATTATTTGTACTGCAACGGAGCTGATCGCATGCCATACGGCGAAACGTCGCCAAATATGAGATCGAACCGATTCCGCTTGGATTGGATCGAGTGAGATATCGAGAGATACCAGTGGACTACCAAAGTCCCCACAACGGGCGAACCCTTGGTTACTAGAAGCACGCGCTTACTCGAACCAAAATCTTTTTCTCTGTATTTGTTCCATACTATGCTACCATCAAGTTTACCTTCGATACCTAGATTGAACGTTCCGCTAACTTGAAGTTATTTTTTTTTCTCAATTTATAA